AAAAAACACACCATTTCACATATTGAAAGTATTAGCTTAACCTGTGGAACGTAAGATTTTCCAACAAAACATAGCTGGAACCTTAAAACTTCCCTGAGAGGTGCCTTCATGCAAGTTACCCAAAGGAAAAGTCAAATCTTTGGTTTAAATAAAATGGAAGAAGAATTTGTGATGTTGAAGCATAGCTCCTACACCTCAGTTACATCACAGGATTAGCGGGGTGCTCTGGCCAGTGCAAGGGGCAACCAGTTAACCCCATGGTGGACTGTGCACACCTTATGGGTCTTAACAGGTGGGCCAGGAGGGCTGCTTTCACACAAACACACACCCTCCTCATCATTTGACCATCAGACCTAGCCAGCAATTACAACTGAAGCAGATAACCAAAGCTGTAAGTGCCAACACTGTGTCACAGTGGGTTTTGTTCTGCTTTTGGCTGTTTGTTTTTAAACCCTTAGTGTCTTCCAAGTTTCCTATTACAATGTTACCAGTTGGTGGGAGCTATCTGCAACCAGGCTGCTTTCTGGCAACCTCTTTTCAAGCCTGGCAGAAAATAAAGCTCTCGGTTCACTGCTTTCCTCCCCTCACAGATACAACCAATTACAAAATCAGAGTAAGAGTACTTACAGGAATTGGTGTAACTATCAGATAAACAGAGCCATAGCAATACACAGCTCTGCATCCCTCTTCACCTACAACCAGCGCCGCTACAGAATCATCACCTGTGAAACTAAGGGCAAAATAAGCTGCAAGCTTATTCACACACATATTGCTGTTCACTTATACAGACTCCTACATGTCTTCCCAACTCAGGTAGCAAAAGCCATCCATATATCACCAGGCAAATACCACATCATCTGGCAGGAGCAAGAAGGGAATACGCAGTCCTTATACAGCCATATGGCACCAAACACAATCCCCATACACACCCCTTGTTTCTGCACAGTTTTACAGAAGTATAGAAGATCAGCAGTACTCGCTTTCTTTGGGAGAAGGGGAAGGGTTCCTGAATACAAACCATTTTGCAAGACAAGCTTGATGCCAAGTAAACTACCTCTGAGGTCTGAGGATGTGCCTGGAGACAACAGCCAGACCCACTTCTTCTCTCTCTTGAACCTTCACCACTGCTACCTTGTGTAGCTTGTCTTCTGCTCTTTCACATCCCAGCCAGCAAAGCCTTGTTGAGCAAATCCTCAGGGGGTTCAGCTGCCAGGAGCACAAGGTGCTGCAGTTACTGTGTTTTTTCAGTTAGATTAGAAACATTTTATTTTCAATAAAGAAAGTAACATTTAAAATATTAAAGTCCCCCAGTATAACCCAGGAAGAGAGAACATTTCAAGTGTCCTTGTACCTTCCCACAAAAGCCAGAGGTAGGACCGTATTTCCCTGCCTCACTTGTGATCAGAGTATTGATAATGTTTGTGCCAATATTGCTCTCATCGCTCACAGAAAAACTGAGCACCAAATGTCAGCCTGAACTGGGAATCTGCCCTAGGAACAGGTACACTTCTATTGTTGAGCCACTGCTGACAAAAGCACACTGATAGGACACCAGAGGTACACTAGGACCCCAGTGACTGACAACCTGGCTCCAGGTTACACAGCCTTCCCCTCCCTCCCAATGCCTGTCAAGAGAAGGAATCAGTCCTACAGGTTCTACCTAAGCGTGGCTGGCTCCAGAAGGCGGCAGTAGCATGAACTTCAGTCTGGCGCAGGAGGATGCTGCAGGTTGGTGATCTGACCCGTGGCAGCTGAATGGAATAGGGAGGGCACAGGGAACAAGTAGGCCAAGTGACAATTACCAGCTCTTCCATCTGATGGCTCTGCTGCCTCTCACATGTCTTTCACTTTCATCTCTCTTTTGGGTCCCCGCAGAGCTATAGCCTCCTGGGGTTGTCATGCCTTACAAGACAATTTTTTCCACCTGATATTCACTGGGAGATGGGTAAATCTTTTTCTTACGAGTGCCAAACTAGGTACCATCCTGAGACTGCTGGAAAGGAAGGGAGCTTTCCCTAAGGCTGCAGTTCTAAAGCTCCTGTGGGTGGCTCTGCAGAACCCCTGGCTCCATTCCTGGCAATCCCATTCCCTGGTCCATCAGTCACAGCAGGCAGCTTCTTGTAGAAACAGTTCAACTACACAAACCCTTCTGCCAGCGAGGCAGTCCTTACACAATATGAAGTAAAAGCCATTTGCAAGCAGTAAGAAGAGTCAACACTCTCAAAGCCAACTCAACAACTAGTCCTGGAAGGACCATACTTCATATACTATCACTGAGAAATTAAAAGAATCATTGTTTTGGTGTGAAAGAATATTGGTGTACACATATCCTGCTCCTTGGTAGCAGTTAACTAACCAGAAGTAGGCAGCATTGCTCCTCTCCTTTCCAGCTCCTTGAAGATCTCACACACGGACAAATAAACATGGGAGTTGGGTTGGTTCCTGCAGCACTAAAACTTGTGCTCAACAAAGCAGCAGCAGAAGGATGCTTTTAAGAGATGGTAATGTCTGCATACAACTGGAAGTTCACTGGAAACACAGCTCAGGTTTGCAGAAACCCATAAAATACCAACACAAAAAGCGCTCCAACTCTCCCATCCCATCCCTGTTTTTTTGTGAGGGAAGAAAGGGACTCTTAGGGCATGACAAGGAAAACAGTTTTCTTGCAAGCAGGTTGTGTAATCCAAAGCCTCAACTGCTGTATTCAGAAGAGCTTTTCTTTAGGGAAAGGGAACCAGCACTAACCCTCTCTGAGGCTGGAGATCTCCAAGCCAAAGCTAGCCAGCAGGCAGAGATGATCAGATGAACAGAAAGGATTTGGTAAGCCATTTGCCATCAAGAGGACATCTTCAGAGAGAAGGGAAAGGCGGCCAAGCAGCTTCAGGGCTCCATCCTTGTACAGCCTTCGACCTGACAAAGACAACGGAAAGAAACATCAGCCAGAGACTGGTGCTGTAGATTAACTCTATGCGCTCACAGAGGGATGCTTGTCAATGCTTTCCTATTCTTTCCCTGACAAACGAAGACAGCCTGCACAGACACTGCATGCACCTTTGAGCCTAGATGTGAAAGCAGTGAGCATTCTATAATACTGCTGTTCAAGGGTTTCATATATTTGCAGCCACAGGAATCAAGTATACACTAAATTCACCAGGCAGCTGCTTACAGGAGAAGTTCCTTTCATGGTACAAAGTCGAAGCAATAGCTTCAGATTCTCCTCCAAGGATGAAATCATCTCTTCATTCCTAATCTCCTCCCCAGAGTTGATTCCAACATGATTCAAACCAGCTTAGAGACAGTTCTTGGATGCATTTATATCCAATCTTTCATCAACATAACTCCCATTTCAGGTAGCAGAGAGGTGGTGGCACTGTAAGAGTCACCACCTTGTAGGGTTACTGTGTGGTCTCAGTCAGAGCAGAAGTCCAAGCCTTGAAGCTAGGACCCAGCACTGCCAGCGATCAGGAATGTAAGTAAGATACTGCTACAAAAGAACAGAATCCATTCTGCTGCAGCTTTCTCAAAACAGCTTCAGTTTTTACACAGCAAAGATAAACAGTCTCTTCTCATGATACCTGAGCAAATGTTGCTTCCTCTTCATGCATTTCAAAGTCACACCAAAACAAGCTGCATTCTGGTATGCCTCACAGCCCTCTCCCAATGTTACAGGGATAAGCCTCACTGCCACACTTACCCATCCTGTTTCCATTCTCCACAGGCTCTGCCGAGTAGAAGATATAATCAACGGTAGCTCCGAGCCCCATGGGCATCGTTGTGACCTCCGGGCGTCCCCTGTGTGGCAAGAAGTGGCTGTAGACAGAGGTCAAGTTGAGGCCATGCTGGATAACGCCTGAAGACCTGAAAATAAACAGCCATTGTTTGCCAAGAGAGGAAAGAGAATGATGCAGTATTCAGTACTGCAGTCACAGCTGAAGGTGGATGTTTCCTTGCTGATGCAACTGTCCAAACTATTTCTACTTTGTGAACACATAAAAGACAGTCTTTCAAAATTATTCACTTACACCAAAGACAAAGCAGATTATGAACTTCCTTTGTCTCCAGTACCCAGTCCTGTCCATGCCCTCACCAACCCAATGCTGACAGAATAGCACTCAGCTGATGGGACAATGCTGGATGGATCTGGCTCTTCCAGATAGCCCTTCTTACTCTCTTCCACCCTCACATTTATTTCAGTCTTTACTTCAGCCAGATTTTCAGTGCTCAGGAAAATGAGACCAGGCTTGAAGAGCAGAGCCACTGAAGGTACACCAAATTACCTGGGGACAAATGGCTGGGGATCAGGGTCTTTCACCATGGCAGCAGGCTTGGGCCAGTGTGCAGGGCGGTCTGCAAAGGAGCAAAGAGATTCCAGCCAGACCTACATACATCATGGAACAGGCTGCTCATCCCGAGTCTGAGAAGCTTCTCCTGAGACCAAGCAAACCTTTTTGCCCAAGAAGAGCAGCTTCCAGTCACAGGCACCTTAAAGAAAAATATTCAAAGGAAACCGCAGCGCTAAGACTAACAGAAACATCCTGAGAGCAGATCAGTGCAAACAACTGAGAAGTCATATTGTGTCTGCTAAGGACATGTTTTTAAAGCATTTAATATTATCAAAGCTCAGGGTACTTCAGCTTTGCTCTCAAAGCAAGTTCCTTTGTCTTAGCCTACAGCTTACTCAAAGGGTGTCTAGAAAGGCCAAACAGAAATGGAGAGAACCAGCTATGCCACAAGGCCCAGAGGTGAGGCAGTGTCTACTGAGTACCAGCATTCAGAGACATCTATGTTGTGGCTATTGTGACATTACAGACTTCAGGTTTGTTTTTCCCACACCAAAAATCTTGAAGCAGAAGAAAAATATATATTTTTTTTTTTTCACTTTAAAAGAAACAGTCTCCGAAAGATGCTGACTCTCAGTGCATCTCAAGGAGCACAGTGCGTATGAAGGTGGTAAGACTGTACCCCTCTGAGCTCCCATAGAATCGGTTCGTAATCACACAACTACAGAAGGCACCCTTCTGCCTTCCCCTTTTCTCACCAGGCATTATCTCCACCTCACTTTTTCATCAAAATTGAGCTAGGAGAGTCACAAGCTGAAAAATCTCCCATTAATACCTGGTTTAGCATCTGTCACACCTTCCAAGAAGATCAGCTGCGGTGGTCGTTCACAGGCAATATCACAAAAGTGAAACTGGAGCAGGAAGTCCCGGCTGTACTTACGTCTGCCTGCAGGGAAAAATACGAGTTAAAAGAAGAAAATAACTGCAGTAAAGTCACATCTATAGGGAACATCTGCATATTCTTTAGACCTCTTGGACCTCTATAGTTTGAGAGAGGTTTTTCTGCCCAAACACTGTCATAACATGAGAATGGGAACCACTTAATAACCTAAATGTAGAACAGAACAGATGTGTAAATGTAGAAGAACAGAACACATATTTGTGCTCCAGGATAGTTATTGTTGTCCCTTTAGCTGATGCAACAGTCATAGTCAGCACCTTGATGAAATAAATTAAGAATGGCCCTTCTGAGACTCCACAAGTTCAAGGAGCTTTTAAGCCGATCAGTTTGTGTGCAACTCAAGGAAGTGTCTGCTGAAAAACGAAAAACAATTCAGGAGATCAGGTTGAATACAAGTCCTACGTTCAAGATTCCAACAAGAGCTATTTGGTGTAGGTTTGGTTTTTTTAATCCACTGTAAGGACAGTAAAGAACAGCCATGATTGATTGTAACTGGGCTCTTAGGAATGATTTCCTAATAGTGTGTGCAAACACTGCCCAAAACCACTCGCACAAACACCTGCAGCTGAAAGCTGTGGCTGCTGAACACGGTTTACAACTGCACAAAAGCACAAGTCTGGGAATATGAAACAGAGAGATACATAGAGCAATGGTTACTGGTAGGAAAACATTCAGCTTCTGATTTGAAAAATAAAATGGCAGAAATTAAGCTACAGCAATAGACTCCAGAAAGCTAAATTTAATTCATATACCAAAGAAATTGATAGAAGAAGAGAATCTTTGCTGAGTGCCTCATGCAACACATGTCCAAGCTACTCAGAGAGACAGCAAGGCCCACAGACTGTCCATCCTCAGCAAACTCACGTTCTCAGTGCACACCAGAGCTCACCTGGTTTCTTTGGCTTCTTTGGCTGGCACAGGGTGACATATTGGCAGCTGTCTGTTATGCCCAGGGAGCTCGGCCACAGCGGGGTCAGTAGTTTCCGTGAATACAACTGCTGGGAAAAGTTTTCCTGACCAGACACCTGCAAGGAGGCCAGAAACAGCAGAGGAAATATCAGCGACACAGAGCAGAACTACAGACGGTGTACATACATACACTTGCCAAGAACAAGACAGGAACATGCCCTCACAGAACAGCATGGACTAAGCTATGCAGAATAAGGTGGAGACATAATAAACCTTCAGCAGTGGGGAATGGATACAATTAGCTAGAAGTAACCTGACAAGATAGTTTGTAGACATCTATTATTGAACTGATGATTTAGCTTGAAAGCCAACAATGTATTTGATCATGGATACACAGTAACAGGTAACCACAAGCGAATCTAGCGTAGGTGCCCATTTCAAACTGTTACCAGATCAAACACTCACATAAAATGTCAGTAAGCCTTGGTGGACTTGTACTCCTCTACACTTCTAGACACACAGGCACAAAAACCCCATAGCAAGGGAGAACCCAGACCTGAAATTAAGTGGTCTATTATCACTGGCCTGCTGCAAGAGAAACCAAATGAGCAACGGTGGAAACCACATGCACACATTTTCCATGTCTTTCCGCAGCAGTGCCAGAGGCATTGGGGAAGACAGCTGAATAACTGAATTCAATACTCTGACTATTTCCTCACAAGAGAAGGAATGCAGCCATGCATTTCTCTAGCAGCCTGCAATAAAGAGCTACCCAATCCCAGTTCTGGCTGGCACCTACCTTCCAGGCTGGCATCCCCTGGTAGGAAAGTTCACCGTTCTGGATGAATTTGTAGAGTGGAGAGTCAGGTACAGAGTTCAGGTCTCCACACAAGATGACAGGATAGTAGCTGCCTTCAGTGGTTTTTGCAATCTTGTCAATCTCGGCTAGCAGCAAGGCCATCTGGGCCAGTTTGATATCTCCCCGCCGGGGATTGAACAACACATGAGTGTTGGCCACACAAAAAGGACTGACTGCCATCCCATCTAGGCCCTCTGGGAGCACAGGCTGCAGCAGCAGCACCAAGCCCACATTATCCCGATTGAGGATGTCCAGGCCAGGTCGGAAATATTCTATGGGGCTGAAGCTGATCAGCTGGAATCTGCTGTGCTTATAGCACACTGCACAGCCATCCGTCTTCGTCCCAGTTCTCCGTTTATAGCAGCACGCAAAGCCTGAAAAGAAACCATCACCTATTAAAAAGTATACCCTGTCACTGCCTCAAGCTGTCCCCACCAACTGGGGAGTTCAGCAACTCTGTGTAGCAGAAGAGGTTCCTGCTATATCTGGGTACAGCATTATACCCAATTCTGTTCCAATAATCACAGTTTATAATTTATCATTGAGGGTATTTTCTTTCTGCTTGTCCTTCTAGGACCCTCTGTTTTGTTATTCTGATCTGTCAACTCTGAGAAACATTGATTACAAAAGGAAGGGTAAAGGTCTAGGCAGGCAGTTCAGAAGTAGGGTCAGCAGCCACCCGACAAACAGGAAGAGCTCTCTCAAGACTGAGTGCTTTGAAGGTATTAAGCAGAAAGCACCCCTTGGCCAGTCCCATGAGCAGGAGGTACAGCAACACAAAAGCAGGACATACCCATCTCCTTGAACTTTGGTTCCAGCTGCTTCCAGTAATGGTTCTCTTGCACCTCCTGGAGACACAGAACCTGGAAGGAAGGCAAAGACCTCACTCGCCCCACCAGTATGTGTTAGTTATCTTGTTTTGGGGAAGGCAGAAAGCGGAAAAGTGCACTCACATACCAACCCTGCAACCAGAAAGGTCATCACTACAACTCTCTCCTGTACTTTCCAGATAGCAATAATTTTCTAGGTCACATTAGCTTATCTTTCAGCTTTCCAGTGATGAGGCAGATGATCCTTCATCACACACAGAGGACTCAAGCAACAGAGGAAGTCATTAAGTCCTCTTCTATGCAGGCTTCCCCTCCTGTGCTGCCTTATAAACCTGGTCCTTTCCTTCCCAGACAGACATTATCTCTTCTTCCTCTACTTCTGCTGTTTTAAAAAGTTAAGTCTTGGCATCAAAGCATGACTGGTTTCTACAGTAACACAATTAAAGCAATATATACACTAAAACCCCCATATGCACAATGCCTCAAACACTCTCAGAGGAAGCAGTGTTCAGTTACCAAGCAGGCAGCATCTTCCTAGGACTTCCTGTCACTCTTTTTTTTTTAATGCTGTTAGATCAAACAAGGAATTCATATTCTGGTGACACTGATGTGGGAAGGGCTCTGTCATACTCACATCAGGATCCCAGTGCTGGATCTCCTGCAGAAGGTTTGGAAGGCGATAGTTCCAGTTCAGGATGTCTGGATGACAGTGTAGATAGAGATCAAGGCCCTGCTCCACCAGGTCCTGGGCAAGGATGTTGTAAGACATGACTCGAAATTCAAAGAGAGGAGTGTTTTTCGAGACCTGCTCTAGCACACAGGGCTGGACAGAAAGATCCTCCCAGTCTCTCCATAAAATCTCTATATGCAAGACACAAAAAGCCAAATTACAGCCATGCTGGGTACCCTGCTGATACATTTGTTCCCCTGGAACACAGAAAATAGCCATTCTCATTCTCTAAGCCGGGGTGTTGTTGCCTCTGAGCAAACCCTCACCCACTCTGGTTTTCAGGTGCTCTTTTTGGATGCCTTTGGATAGTTGTCAATGGAGATGGCACAACAGAAGACCAGAGTCAAGCATACCAAAACACTTGACCAGCTTTTGGGTGCTGCTTATATTATAAAGCCAGCATTTGGGAACAGCTCCTGGGAAATGAATATATACTGATGTTTAGACCAGATGGTTTAAAGCACAGAGACTACTAGCTGTGAACAGCCCTCCCTCAGTAAAAACTCACTCCGTACCTTTCAGGAGCAGATCCCGTCAGTTCTGCATGGACAGATACAACCAACGTCTTACTGACAGCAGGCCCAGACACAATAACCTCACCACATTCACTACAAATGCAAAGCTCAAACTGAACATTACAGCTGTTACTACTGACCATGGTAGGGTACCTCTGTTGGGACAGGATAAAATTGTATCGCGTCCTGAATGGGCCAGGGTGAGGGCTCCACTGGCGCTGTCTCTGCACCATGTGCTAAACTCCAGGCCAGCACAGCTGGGTCTTCATTCTGGACGTCTACAGCAACAGTGGCACAGCCAGCTATCTGGTGATCTGTTTGTGGCACCACAGCTGCCCAAGGGGCACTGCCTGCTACAGCCACTGGTTCCTCCACCGATAATTTTGCCAGCTCAGTCTCTGTATGATCTTGCGGTTCTGAAGAAGCCAAGGCGTGTAGCTCTGTGAGCTGCTGACCAGCACACTGAGTGACTTCTGGAGCCAAATTCAGGTCACTGAGGCTAGTCATCAATAGCTCTGAACCTTCTAACCAGTCACTCGTGAGTGCAACTGATACTTTCCCCACTGCTGGAACACTCTCACCAGCTGGCAAATTCCCTGCTCCTTCCTCCAGCCACTGCTGGAGAAGGGCTTCTTGCTCTTCTGGGACCGAGCTTCTTCCTCTGGTCGCAGCAAAGGCACCTTCTATCTGGGTGGACGCGCTCTTCGCCAGAAGCACATTCTTTCGACAGGTAAAGAGAGCATCTGCCATTTAAAAACAAACAAAACCAACATAAGACAGATGGAAATCTTTTCTCACTCACTCGTTTCTTCTTCCTATGCATCTGCTGTAACTCTGTGCAATACAACCATTCAGTAGAGCAACCCAAACAAATTACTTCGCTGAAGAGAAAGTTACAGTTTGAATAACTTACCCTGCCTCTTCCTGAATGCTAGACCACAGTCCAATTCTAGTTACATTCGTCAAATGGGTACACTGAAACTGCACAAGATGGCAATGGCTTTGCCAACTCTAGGGAAGGCCATTCTAACTTATGCAATGCCACAGCCAGTCAGCCAAGCTAAAAGGCCTCGTGGAAACTATCAGTTCACAACAACACGTGTAAAGGCACAGTCTGTAGAAGTTAGCTGATGGGGTGCATGGGCTAAGAAGCCAAGCTCTTGCAGATGACCACCTGGAGCAAGTATCTTTCCAGGGATTGAGTAAGAAATAGTGCTCAGCTAAGAGGATCAAACATATCACAAGAAAGCGTTGTAGAAGAAAAACCCTTCTGTTATTCAGAGGCTAAAAACAAAGACACAGAGGGACCAATACGTGCCATTAAAAGCCTTATTAGAGAGAATACATGCACAGAACTAGTCTTGGTAAGAACTACAGACCACTTGATGACTGACATCTGCAGTAAAAAATTAACAAAAAACCCGCTGTTAATTTAACATTTGACTATACTAATACTGGTGGGGTAAAGCAGAAAAAGACAGGGACTCTTTTCACTTGCATCTATATAAAAGATGATGGCATTTACATTTTGCTACGAATTCTGCACAGACACTAGTCCCTACTATTGACTAGCAATTTCTGTTGTCTACAAATCACTTTACTGTATCCCTGTGACAGCCAGTCAGCCACAGCAGTAACACACAGGAGTCAGCAACATCCATACACGCTTTGACTGTATCTCTTGTGTCAAAGCTTTCTGTATGTGTCAGAACTGGGAGCTTTAAGAAATCATACTCCCCTCTTTAGTTTTGTAATTAAGCTCATGAACATGAGAAACACCAAGGTGATACTTTCGCACACCACTAGCCAGGCACGGCTGTTACAAGAGCCAATTACTACGGGACAGGGGCTGAATTTGAGATGAGCCAGCAAGCTCCTCACTATGGCCACAGTGGCTGCTACAGGCCTGGGGACAGGTTCAGGCAGGAGGGTGGCTTCACATCAGCACAGCCACCAGGGACTGTGGAGCTGCAAGCAGCAGGGACCGGGAAACCAAGTGCAATATTGACACTTGCAAAGCAAGAGTCCACCCACAAGTCACCCGCAGGTCCGTGGGGAGTCACCGACCTCCGAACAACCCACCTCCAAAGATGTCCACAGACCTGCAGCACAGGTGCAGGAGGCT